ATACATTGGGGATTCCCCTTCAATGACGAATAAACTATAAATAAATTTTTCTACTCGGCTTGCTGTAATGAACGTGGTTTGTATGTAGCGTAAGCAACATGTTCCAATTTTCCGTAAACAGTATTTGAACTGGTTCCAGCAGTCCTTGGGAACGGATATTAATGTATTGTTAGACAAGAACATTGCTCTGGGTATAGCTAGATCTAATATCCATATATACATATAGTATTTTTACTTCCTATTTATTAATCTTAAAGCCACAAATTCGCAACAGTGGTGCGTTCAAGATATGAGCGTAGTACATTAATTGTATCTTGTGTATCCAACACAGATACAATTACGTACCTACATGTTTGCGCGCAACGTATGCGCAAACGTTATTGAACGCCCCGCTGAGCGCACCACCGTTCCGAATTTGCGGCTTATTGGGGCATACACCGGGACGTCGGCCGACCTTCGGCAGACTACTTCGTTTCCTGAAGGCGACGACGCAGTCGACTGGCCATTTACACCGAATGGTCTGCCGCCCTCGGCAGACTAGGTACCTCGCCTTGCCGAAAGCGACGCACCCAGTCGCTTCGGTCGAATACGGCTGCAAACTACCGTCGTCAGACAGCTTACAATTTACACCGGGTAAGTCGCTTGGCGACTTGGTGTAAATGCGCCATTAGACAGACTACTGGAATGATGTGTATGTTACTTATTTTTAAATTTGCGATGGCGATGTTACACACTCCACCATTTTGATGACCTAAGCTTTGTTAATATTCACTGTTGTTTAATGTCGTAAGGCCCCGTGTACATCAAAATGTATGTACATAATATTATGTGAAGTGATCCAGACCCAGACATTACTATTTCTATGATTACGTACATGCTGAGTGTACATTATAATGAAAATATTCTGTATAATGGTCATAGGACATCCAGAAAATACGTTTTTCATAGAAAACTACAACACATTGATGCATCTTGTTCCGTTACACTGTGTATAGCTTGATGTATTGTTGACTGTACATTGGGCGTTTAGCGCCTTTCCCATTATTATTGTAGTTTGCTGTGTCATATGAGGTTAATGCTAAACTCTTCGTTTTTTATTTTATTTGTTTTGTTGGGGTAAATAAATGGTTTCATTATTATCCGAGCTTTCTTGGCAACTACGAACGGAATTACTCGACAGCACCTCATCTCAGATTATTTGTCACCTTTTGCATAATATACTCGATGCCTTTTGCTGATGTCTCTCTATCCAAAGCTCAATAAAAAAATGACAATAGGAAGGAAACTTTCCTTGAAAGCGCAAAGGCACAGAGAATATTTTATAAGTCCAACAATGCCGTAATTTTTAATTACGATCTGTGACTTGCATTACGTAATTGAGTACAAAGATATACACATCACCATTAACAGATTACGCTTCGAATATGGCAAATTTGCAGCTCATCTAAACAGAAACAAAACTTTTTCAGTCACATGTGAATATTATAATACTGATGAAACTACTCTTGATCACTTATTTCTACATTTACCTGCCTTCAAGACTGCTTTTATAGATGCATGGCCTACTGAAGATTTATGAAGAAAAGATATTCCCCGCTTCTTGCCATTTTTGCTGCAGAATACAAGGACTTATATACCTATAAGTATATGCATACATTCTTGCCACGACTGAAGAGATGTGAATCAAACTTTTCACGGAAATATCTGATGAAATATGTACATTTAAAAAAGAAAATCTTTATAAAGACAGAATTTCAAAAACAATGGGTATATTTGGTTTTATTCCTATCCCATTATACTAATAAAGTAGCAATAGAAAAGTAAAAAATAAAATAAAACAAAATAAAAAATAAATAAAAATGTAGGGCTCCTTGTGGAAGACTTCGTCCAGGGAAGTACTGCCACGTTGCATATTCCTGGCACCAAGCAGTAATGTCAGCATTACTGTGTTCCAGTTTTGAAGTAAACTTATGTGACAGGGTGACGGGCGCAGTGGAAGTGCCCCTCAGATCTTTCCTATTTAAAGCTCTGAGTGGCATTGCAACTGTTAGGGACAGGCGTGTAGCTTACCATCTTTCATATTGCTGGAAAATATATTCAATTGTAAAAATGTTGCGGAGTTTCAAAATGGCCACCGTTTCTAAAACATTATCAGTAAATTAAACTTTCCTTTATTTTTGTCCACCCTCTAAGATTAAAGTATTAAAGAAAAAGTATTGCGCGCGCATATGCATATTTGTGCAGTATACTGTGTAAAAAGAAAAAAGGGATAAAAAAGGTTGCTGCACTTCAGTATGGAACCGACGTTCCGTCTGGTGATTATCCTGGGTAAAAATCACCTTTTTTATGGGAGTACATTACTTTACACCACTTACTTTAGATATAGCGGGTAGCACGTATGCAAAGCGTGCATGGACGGAAAGAACAAGACGCTGAGATTCCTGGAGGAGCTTGCAATAGGACTCTGCATTCACTTACATAGAAAATAGGAACTACGACGCCGAATTGTATAATGAGCGACAAAGGTCATACCTATATATAAAATATAATTATTGTTATCACTTATCACTTGCATTTATATAAACAAAAAACTTATTATTTACAGTCCCATCTTCGCGCGGAGTGATTTTATATCGTGTTCAAGTTCCTCACTGGTGTTTTCCATAAAAGTTTATTAATATTAAAATTGGCACGCACTTGATCTTTATATGTATACTCAGCAGTGAGGCCGGTTCAAGGGATCCTTAAGAGATCTGTACAATAAATGTTATACTTAAATGCATTAAAATTTCATTAGTACGGGACGCATATTTGCGACAGAGATGAAACGTTAGAAATAATTCTAACGTAGGTTAGCGACACATTTGTAGTAACGATGACATCCCACTACTGCTACACACTATATTGGCTTATACGTCCTTATTACGGAAAAATATCACATTTAACAGCTTGATTTTTATTGCCTCTCCCGATCGAAAACTGCGTCTCTTCCGAGTCGAGGCGCATAATTGAGATTCACAACTGGCCAATCGGAAACTTTGACATTTCAAATCGGAGCAATAGTTGATGCAACTCACAAATTAGAAAGATATAGTAGGAATCAGGTTCATCTTCTCGCTCGGAAACCCATCTGATTTTGAGACTACCCGATTGGATTGATTCCGATTTGAATCAAAATCAGCATGCAGAAGAAATTCACCATTTTATTCTACTATAGAACAGAGTTTGTTTCAGTAGTTCACGTTAAGATAACTAGATGGAGCCAACTGATTTAAGATATTTATTTATTTATTTATATTTTGGAGGGCACAAACAGCTTATATTACAATAAAATAGAGACTTAATTAAATAATTTGAAGCAAAACAGTTTCCTACTGATAAAAATACAATAATATTTGATGCCATAGATATAGGATCGAAAAAATCCTAAATCTATGTTTGATGCATTGATAATTCAATGACTTATCACAATGATGATATTATGATAAGTCATTGCATTAGATTTTTGGTATGAACCTTTGTTTTTATAAGGAAATGTCAAAAACCTTTTTTGTGGTTTGCTTTTATTTTGGAAATGAAACTATTTTTAACCGACTTCAAAAAAGGAGGAGGTTCTCAATTCGACTGTTTTTTTTTGTATGTATGTTACGCGATAACTCCGATATTTGTGAACCGATTTTCATGATTCTTTTTTTCTTGGAAAGGGGGTACTTCCATAGTGGTCCCATTTCATTTTGAAGAAAATCATCCACCTCTAAGGGTGGCTGTTCACACATGAAGATTCATTTTATAAATAGCGCCTAAACTTTAATTTAAGAGCAATTATTTTAATGGTTACTTTGAATAGTGAGAACCGATTTTTATTATCTCCAGTGTCAAGTCCTGTATAGTGGCGAACTAGGGGATATTTCACTAAACTTAGCAAATAGACGTAATTCCACGTACTTTTGAGGTCGGTTTTTTTAGTACTCTGTACTGAGATTATTTCGATCTAAATCGCGAATATTTGATGCATGTATATAGGCACTCTGGAATTTCTCGTATACTTTTCAAAATAAACTGTTTCTCAGATTGGTGAAATATTCCTTTTTTCCCCATCCCTCTAAGGTTAAATAGTAGAACAATTTTCTGCCATTGTTTTTCTTACAGGCGTCAAAGGAAGTACCTCCATTAGATTATCAAGTCTCAACAATGGTATTCTTGAAATGATATTATGATATTCAAAAAGTTGCCTGAAGTATTTTCATTCCATTTGCAAGCATTACATGTTAATACTGGTTTAATTGTATCAAATTGTGTTCTCTAAAATAGACATGCTTTTCACCGCACTGCATATCATTGTACTTTTATACAATGTTCTTCGCTTGAAGTAAACTTTTTAAATCATAATATCTTTATGAATAACCTCATAAGTGCAGTGGGCAGCACCTAAAAGTAGACAATTATTTTTGAAAATGTGCCTTAAGTCATTTGAGCTACCTTCACTCACATTTCGCACCCTTGTTGGTGTAAAAAGGCCACATCTGCAAAATGACAATTTAAAGATATTACGAACGAAATTAGTCGATAACTTTTATGCTCAAATAGGAGCGCTATAAAATTTATACAATACGTGATTTGTTTCTTGTTATTTTTATGAATTTCATGTGATAAAAGCAATTTTGACGTATGATCGCACGAGGCTTTGTTACACCAGAGTACGATTTGCAGTTTAGTTTAAACTGTAGGTAAGACATGGAGACACCTCTGCTAATATCAATTGTACGTAGCCACTAAGCTGATGACTGCACAAACAACAATTACAATTTCGTTAACGACTACTGATAAGAGGTCACTAAAGTAATATTTCTCATCCAGTCCACTAATTGTATTGGTTTACTGACTCTTATCTTACGATCGTCACATAAATGCTCTGACCCCTGTATCAGTTGGTTGCTTTTATTTTAGTAGTGAGGTCCATACTTCAAGTATGATGACGTGTTGAATAAAAATATTTTAAGTATAAATTAATAACAATGATAAAATTTTTGAAGCGCGGTTTCGTGCCTAGAACAACATTCAATACAATAGAAAAATGTTTAATACAAGAGGGCGGGTTGTTGAAAAGTGGCATTCGTTGTGTAGTCACACAAATTTCGAAGTCTGAATGTTTGTTTCCAGAGCGCGAGGATTTCCCTAGCAGACACATTGGGCCTAGAGATCATGACATCGTTACTATGCTGGACCTTCTGGGCTACAAGGTACGTTATCCATAAATTGAGTCATTGTTTTTATGATACCAAGTGATGGGACGAACAAGTCGTGCTCCTGGTGGTGGTAGCGACACGCCTGTCCATAATAGTTACAGTGCCGGTCAGAGCTTTATATCGCAAAGATCTGTGGGACCCTGTCACTGCGCCCGTCACCCTGATACATAAGTTGAAAAGTCCCACGTGCCTGTAATTTCACCAGCACCCTTACCCTTCAAAACCGAAACACATTACTTAATGGTCACATGAATGCTTAGCGGCATAAATATGTAATTACTTCCCTTAACGAACCTTTTTATTACCCTTTTTTTTCTTAACGAACTCTTTCAAAAGGAGCTCCACTGCTGCACAATAAATACTAAGCTAAATGGTAAACTGCTCATGAGACTTTTTTCTTTAAATAGAGCCTGGATCAGTTGACGAATGACGCGGTGCCTAAGAAAATCCAATTTCAAAGCCTCATGAATATTACTGAACCAATGAGTAAGTGCTAAAAATATAAGTACTGTAAATATTCTATATATTTCAATAATAAATGCTTATATTGTGCGTTTCCACTTTTTGTCAAATACACATTTCAGGCGAATACGATTTAATCGAAAGAGTGAGGGAAATTGCTGAAAAGAATCAGATATGGCGATCTTACATTGGAATGGGCTACCATAACTGTTGTGTTCCTCATACTATTATGAGGAATCTATTCGAGAATCCTGGATGGTAAGTAAACGAAACGAGTTAATTCTGTATAAATACTTTGGAAGCATATTTTAGGGTCCTATACTGAGATACCATGTGATTCGTATACAATAATAAAACTAAAAACAATTTTTATAGGACCACGCAGTATACTCCGTACCAACCAGAAGTAGCTCAAGGGAGATTGGAAAGTTTGCTGAATTACCAAACGATGGTCAGTGATCTTACTGGGTTGGATGTCGCTAACGCATCTTTGCTTGATGAGGGTACTGCAGCTGCCGAGGCCCTTTCTCTATGCCACAGGTATCTACGCCAATATATATTCATTATCAAAACTACATTATCTCTCAAAACAACAGATACATGTTAACCTTGACAACACACGATTTTGTTTGAACAGGCACAACAAGAGAACCAAATTCGTTGTATCTGAACGTGTGCATCCACAAACACTAGCCGTGGTCCAGACACGTTTGGATGCTCTCGGTCTAGAAGTCATGGTGGTGCCTGATGTTCGACAAGTGGATTTCGCACAGAGAGACATTTCTGCTGTACTTCTTCAATGCCCTGATACTCGGGGTTTAGTTTATGATTACTCAGGCTTAGCAGCTGCCGCTCAAGAACATGGCGTTAGTAAAAACATTTGCTATTTTTGCTCTTGGCTCCGTTGTTGGCTAAGCTAAAATGACTTAACACATGTCACAGACAAGTTTGATTCTTGAATTGTATGACTGGCAAAAGCAACAGATACCAAGACTTACTTGATTTAAGTACTAATTCAAAATGCAATGTTATCGGTGATTTTGGTTTACCTACAGACATTGGTGGTAGTAGCAACTGATCTACTGGCGATGGCCCTATTGCGACCACCAGCAGAATGTGGTGCTGCCCTGGCAGTTGGCACATCTCAACGTTTGGGCGTACCATTGGGTTACGGTGGCCCTCACGCAGGATTCTTTGCTGCTGAGCATCCTTTAGTGCGACTAATGCCTGGACGTATGGTTGGTGTTACTAGGGATGCTACGGGTAGAGATGCTTACAGGTATGTTCTTAGTGAAGTGTCACTGATTTCTCTACACAAAGAGCCCTGCACAGTAAAATCACACGCCTAAGAATAACCTTTTTAATATTTTTCTTAGACTGGCTTTGCAAACGAGAGAGCAACATATTCGTCGCGACAAAGCCACGTCAAACATTTGTACAGCCCAGGCGCTACTTGCAAACATGTCTGCTATGTTTGCAGTATATCACGGTCCACAAAGCTTGAGAGATATTGCAACTAGAGTCCATAATGCTACTTTGGTCTTGGATCACGGTAAGTGAATGGTCAAATTGTATTTTGTATAAAAATATAATGAGATTGTCGAGGTTTCTCATATGGCCGTCTTGCAGCAAATAAAATGTGGATCCACTTTCCAGGAATAAGACAACGTGGCCACAAGCAATCAAATGAAGTTTTCTTTGACACTCTTCACATTATTCCTGTAGCTGAACATGATGAAAGCGCTATTAAAGCAAGAGCACAAGAAAAGAAAATTAATTTAAGACATTTTGAAGACGGCGCCATTGGAGTGGCTTTAGACGAGACTACAAAAATGGAGGATGTTGATGATTTATTGTGGGTTTTTGACTGTCAGGATGTAAAGAAGGTATTTATTCAGTCGATCTGCAAATTATCCATATTAACAAACATTTATTAAAGACCTAAAAATGTCTGCTATTTCAGGTGATGGCAAGCAGTGAAGTAAGGTCGAAAAGTATAATGAAAGGTCCATTTAGAAGAACTTCGCCATATTTGACTCATCCGGTATTCAACATGCATCACTCCGAAACGAGAATTGTACGATATATGAAGCGGTTGGAGAATAAAGACGTATCTTTAGTACACTCGATGATTCCATTGGTAATTATTACAGGTTCAATTTAAGGTTATTACGTACATATCAAGTGTTCAGTCATAACGATCAATAATTTTATCCTTCAGGGCTCCTGTACGATGAAGCTCAACTCAACAACAGAGATGATGCCGTGTTCATTTAAACATTTCACTGACATTCATCCATTTGCTCCATTGGACCAGTGTCAAGGATACCATATCCTATTTGAAGAACTGGCCAACGACCTTTGCGCAATTACTGGTTACGATCGTGTGTCCTTCCAACCCAACAGGTAAGTGGACCTCAAATATGTAATAAGTAATAGTAAGTGCAACGTTAAAGTTGTAAAATATTTCATCCGTAATTTTCAGTGGTGCTCAAGGCGAATATGCAGGATTAAGAACAATTAAACGCTATCATGAACACCGTGGAGAATTCAGTCGTAATATTTGCTTGATCCCTGTTAGTGCCCACGGCACGAACCCTGCATCCGCACATATGGCCGGAATGAGAGTCTGTGCCATTCGTGTTACCCCATCTGGTGATATTGACATGGAACATCTTAAGGACATGGTAAGGCCAAATAAACATATGAAGTTCCCTAAAATTAACTTACGCCTAGTACTAGTTCAAATCTTGACAACAATTTTCAGGTAGAAGAACATAGTAAGAATGTGTCATGTATTATGCTAACGTATCCAAGCACTTTTGGTGTATTTGAGGAGCGAGTTGCAGACGTGTGTGATTTAGTTCATGCCCATGGTGGACAGGTTTATCTAGATGGCGCTAATATGAATGCTCAGGTAAACCACAATAATATAATAATAACGCACACACTCATAACCCCGCACTAGAGAAACCATGTATCGCGGGTGCCATGGACACATACATAGACAACCACAAATTACACTCAAACTCACGAGAGAAATTAATGTAGGCCATACAAATATTTTTCTCACTCTAAGGCAGACCAGCATGGGAATCGTTCGGACACAGAGGCAGTTACTATAATTTGCATTTTCTCACCAAGATATGATTTTACGTAGTACATTTTCGTTACCGATTTCCTTTCAGGTAGGATTGTGTCGTCCTGGTGATTATGGCAGCGATGTGTCGCATCTTAATTTACACAAAACATTTTGCATTCCCCACGGAGGTGGAGGTCCTGGAATGGGCCCCATTGGTGTGTAAGTAATTACTGCTAAGCTGTACATATTATACTTTGATGTCATCAAACTTATTTACGCACTACGTCTTTTTAGAAAAGCACATCTTGCACCATTCCTGCCTTCTCATCCTGTGGTGGATCCATTAGCTGATTTAGGTGAAGAAGCTCATAGTTTTGGTTCAGTAAGTGCTGCACCGTTTGGATCTTCAGCTATTTTGCCGATTTCATGGGCCTATATCAAGGTAACATATTACACTTCACTTAGTAATATAGGTTCGTCATTATTCATATATTCGTAGTTATAAAATACTAAATGGACTTTACGAATTTAATGCAGATGATGGGTCCAAAAGGCTTAAAACGCGCAACGCAAGTGGCTATTCTTAACGCAAACTACATGGCAAAAAGATTGGAAGGACATTACAAAACACTGTACAAGGGTGAAAGAGGATTAGCCGCCCACGAATTTATTATTGATATCAGAGATCTTAAAAAAACTGCTAACATTGAACCTGGTGATATTGCTAAACGTCTGATGGATTTTGGTAAGATTTTGAAGAATACAATTATCTAGATACCAGTATTGAAATAGTATTAATATATTTGTGTTTTGGTTTGCATCTAGGTTTCCACGCACCAACTATGTCATGGCCTGTCGCTGGAACGTTGATGATAGAACCGACCGAATCAGAAGACTTACAAGAATTAGACCGATTCTGCGAGGCCCTCATTACAATCAGGAAAGAAATTAAGGACATAGAAGACGGCAGCATAGATAAAAGAATGAATCCACTGAAGGTAATTTTTTTGCATGCGAGAAAAGAATTTTTAGACAAAAAAATAGGTATTGGAATTTTAAAGTGGATCACAATGTTCTTCCAGATGGCACCACACACTCAACTAGAAGTAATTTCGGAAGAGTGGAATCGACCTTATAGCCGGGAACAGGCTGCTTTTCCTGCAGTAAGTGTATAATATCAGTACAGTTATAAATATCTGATCAATTATTTTGCCCCGCAATCATTTTGAAATGTAATTACTTACAGCCGTTCGTGAAAGGAGAGACTAAAATATGGCCAACTGTTGGACGTATCGATGACATGTATGGTGACAAACACCTTGTTTGTACTTGTCCTCCAGTGCTGGATGATTTTTAAGCTGCAAATTAGAAGAACTGCGTTAAGTTTATGAAGTTAATGATGGCGAATGTAAATAAAACACAAAAATCTTAGCGATCGCATAATGTATGTATATTTTGTCAATATTGTCGTATAATAAATATCGTCTTCTAACAACAAAATCTTTTCAATTCGCAAAGATAGAATTTAAATCTAGAGCTGTATAAACAATTGCTATAATTTCTATTGACTTCAAACAAGTTACTCTATCTATCTACCTTATGGTTAAACTTATCATATTGCGAAGGATATTATTAGTCATTCATTTACGCAACAACGGTAAAATTTATTCAAGGCAACGTGTTTTTTGTCTCTAACGCAAAGTTATCAGCTGCAGCATGGAGTAATACAATCAGTTTCTGTTATGCCAAAATATGCATTGATACTATTACCAATATCATTTTTTAGGTTTATAAATGGAGTATACAATGTTATGAGTACACTTTAAAAACCTTCTTTATATCCTTATTAGTTTTATTATGATTCGGCAGTACAATCGTCATAAAAATAAGTTAGCAATTAATATCTAAAATAAAGACGCGATCTAAACTTTGATAGAGTACACATTAAAGCATAAAAGTATTTGTAAAATAAAGATCACACAGCAAAATCAAACTTAATAAAATCTTTCATTATTAGGAGTAGAAAACGTGCTCTACGCATTAACTTATTTTGGAGGAGAACTGATCACATCTTTTGGATACATTCCTAACCTCACTCCGAGCTCTTTAGGCATGCGCATTGAAGGCCGTGTGGGGAAAGGATGATAGGAACCCGTAGAGGGGCTGCGAGGATGCGATAAAGAGGACAAAGTGTCTGTTTCTATTAGAGACGTGATAGCACTGCAAGTATCGTCCGATTCAAGTTTGGTCCTTTCGCTTTTTTCAGTAAATTCTTTTGTATAGGTAGGCGTCTCTTTAGGGAATATCTTTGGGGATATTGGAGTGGACACCTGATCAAGTGACGCGATTTGACACAAAGTATCACTAGAGTTACTTTTTGCTCCTATAGGTGAATCGTCTTCAGCAGAAGGCTCGTACGTGAAGCTTATAGACGAAGTTACTACATGAGCAAAATCACTAACTTGGCTGTTATCAGTCTTAGATAAATTTTCACAAATTTTCGGCCCTTGATCGACTGTCTTGCTGCATATGTCACTTGCTTTAGATATTACGTAGTCATTATATTTACTTGAGAGTGGGTAATTATAATCGTCAGATGTACATTTGCGATCGTACGTAGCTATTGTGTCTCTGATTTCTGATAATGGTAAGGACACAGATGATTTGGATTCTCCCGAAATAGAGCGCTGTGTCCAGTCGGAGGACGCTAACGGTTTTAGTTCATTTGGAGTGACCTCGCCTTGATCAGATAAATCATAAGATTTTTTTAAATAATCAAAATCATAATTACTATCAAGTTTGTCTAACGTACTTTTATAGTCACACTTTGCTAGAAAACCTTTATTTTCCCATCCGTATAAATCGGTTTTGTTGCCTAAACATTCTATACTAGGGGATTTTATATTTTTTATTTTAAATTCTTCATCTTTAGTAGCATTGTTTCGGGCCTCTAGACAAAATGGGTCGTCTATAGAAATGGGTCTTACTCTAACGAAATCACTTTTTACAGTGCTCTCTTCAGTAGAGTTTTCTTTTCTATAGCCGATTAACGAATCTGACGTAGACTCTTTTAAAAGTGGTGATTCTAGAATTCTACTTTCTTTCGGTTTTTCAGGTGTACCACTTAGTTGGCTTGTAAATAAACTATTGTTTCTAATGTCCATTTCTAATTCTGTATCCGTTATAGATTGGATTTTGTTGCTAATTGCTGTTTCAGACACATTTTGTTTAGTTAATATTCGGCTTAAAATTTTAGAGTTTTCTTGTATAATTTGTAGAGCTCTCTCACTATTTTTTCTACCTGATTGAAGGATGTAGTCTTTAGGTGTCATCGTATCTATATTTTCTGTCATCTTTCCTGGAGTTTGAAGCTTATCGATGATTGTTGCGGAATCTTTTCGTTCACTTTCTACATATTTATCAGGCGTTTTGACAAATGCATTCTTCTCTTCTGGACTGGAAATATTAGTAAAACTATGGCTTTGAGGCAATGACGAAGCTCTTTCTAGTTCATTTTTCATTAATTTTTCATTATAACTACTTTGAAGAGTCAAGGAATCAGGTTTTTTAGGAAATCTGGCATTTCTTTTAGCAGCTCGACGGCTTGGGATTTCAGGGTTAGTTACTCGAGCTCCAAAAAATTCTGGACTATGTTCAAAGTACTTATCAATTGTCAAAGGTATAGGACGTTCGTCTTCACTGACGATGATGCTTTCCGCGCCTGGACTTCGAGGTGGAGTTTCAATGTCTGACAAATTTTTCTCAGATAAATCAATGTCGGTCACAAAATTTGGATACATGGTCAAACTATCAATAATGTCTGGAGGTCTCGAAATTATATCTGGTCTTGAGGTAGATGAATGTTTAAAATTAGACAAGAAGTCATAATTGTACGATGACTTCGAGTCCACACTATAACCACAAGGAGATAATTCAATGGGGCTTAACTCCGTCCGACTTAACTCTTTGGTAGTTGGAAGATTTGTCGGTCTGCTAATTGAATTATTACTTTTGGAGTTTTCTTCGTATTGCGGTCTACTTAGTCTTTGAAGTATATCACTTTCCGCGTTTGATCGTGGTGAATAAGGAGACAACTCCTTAACAGGGCTACTAGTTAACACTTCAGAGCTAACACTCAGGCTATCTTTTAATTTTGACTCAAAGCCATCAATATAAGTGCGCAAAGGTTCTCCAGCATCTGAATCTAAATAATCTGATATATTCGTTACAGGTTTTGGTGATAGGGTTATTTCTGAGAGATCATCAGAAGCATGACTAATTATAGCCTCGTTCAAAACAGGCGAGCATACTACTTTAGAATCTTTGAACATTGGAGAAGGCGTAGGTTTGGCTCCTTTAATGTTTATATTTCTTATTTTATCATCGTCAGGCAGTTCCGTCTCAGAGTCACTGGCTCGTTCATTTTCATCGCACAAACTTGTATCAGTACTAGATGCTGAATGAGATGAATATGACGACGTTTCACTAGAACTTCGTGATCTCATCGAAGCAACAATTTCGTTAGCTTCATGCTCTGAAACTATTATACCGTCACCAGCTTCATCTAAATCTATGGATGCTTTCCTATATCTTTCTTTTTCTCTTAAATCTTTGTCTTTCTTTATATCTTTCCATTTAACGGAGTTTCTTCTACTTAATGATTTTCGGCATTTTTCTTCCTTCCAACTAATTGTTTCACTGCTGTGTGGTTTTGAATGTGGTTCTGTTTTATCGTTCTGTGATGTTTGTCGCGATGGTGGAACTGCACCAGGTGGGGGTCCTAATCTGCGTCCTCGAGTACTTACAATTGCACTTTTCCCCAATAAAAGATTATTTACAGTGAGCGACGTCGGTGATGTGGGCACTCCAACTGAAAATAAAAATAAGTTTTTTAATGAAAGTGGAAATGAAACTTTCTTTTCAACAATATTACTTACAAACATTTACCTGCAGCGTGTCTAGCACAGGCAGCAGCTAATATGACGTGAGCTTGTCTTTGGCGTTCTCTAAGCCTTGCGTACTGTCTTTTCAGAGCTCCAATATCTAAAGACAACCTATCACCGGCACCGGAACGATCTTCTCTTCTTGGCATAACCTGTAAAATTCAACAACAGCAATTATTCACAAATTGAAATATCTAATGACGTAGTACATGAAGCGTAAACAAATTTTGTCCTTACAGTAGCTAGAGCCATTTTGTTTCCATCGTCACTCGAATCTCCCTCATCCTCGGAATAAAACAAGCGCAAGCCTTTTTTCGTCATTGTCTGCATCTGTAGAAAGAATTGTCTCATTTTGAAAAACTAGTTTGAAATAAAAATAAAGTGTAGTAAAATACTCAGTCTTAAATCAACACTAGCATAGAAGTAATCTGATTTATTAGTATTAAGGTACCTTTGTCGAATAAGGCCAGCCGATTAATATGGCCACTCGGAAATTTCAGACGTTTTAAAATTACCGCGAAAAAAGCAAGTGTGTATGTACGTGTATAGGCGTATGGTCACGTGATCTACAGACGCCGTCCACGCGGCACCCCCGCGCCCGCCAGTCTGCCAAACGGCACTAAACTGATCAAACGTGGAGTTGTTACAAATTTTCAAGTAAGTTTTTTAATAATTTGTGTTATAATTTGCCATTATCTTTTGATTTCATATGGTTTCATATGATTTTCATTTCGTATGATTTCATCTTGTTATTTATTTTGATTTTTCGGTGTAATTAGAATTTAGATAGAAAATTACTTGACGGTTAATATGGCCATCGAGTGGCCATATTAAGCCTGTGTTCTGATATTCGATGGGGCCAAATGTCATTTAGATGATTCCATCGTGGATGTTGCACAGAAATATGATGTCAAACTCGTGTTTACCAAGCAACACTACACACGAACTCCAACCAATGGACAAAGCGGTGTTTAGGAGTTTTGAATACTACTGGGATGAGGAAGTTCTAAAGTATTGGTCGTTATATGAAGACAGAAGAATCACCAAACAAAGATTTGGAGCAATATTTACAAAAATTTGGGATAAAGCGTTAACACCTGTAAATATTAAAGCTGGTTTTGAAGCTACAGGCATATATCCGTTCGATCCAGAAAAATTCCCGAAGAGGCTTACGCACCGAGCTTACCAACACAGCAGTCAGCTCCTGAAGTTTTAACTTATTCAGTGTCACAAAGCACGGACAAGCAACTTTCAACTTCTAGCTCACATGTCTCTATTGCTTATGATGAGAGCGATGATGACATTCCACTGTCTCGTCTATGTGAGGTGAAATACCAAAGTTGCCAGGCAGATAAAAGAAGCGTAGCGTCTATAATTTCAAACACGCATGCGTGTCGTCAGGATAATGAACCAAGAATTTCATTCAACCAAATTTTGAAAACCCCACAGAAGAGTTCGAATGCAACATCTGCTCCAAGAAAGAAAGCTATAAATTATTTGGCTCTAGAGGTCACCTCATCAACATTCCAAATTAAAGAAAATAAGTCCCAGCTTTCTAATATCGCTTCGTCAAGCATTCCAAAACACAAAAACAAACTCGAAATAAAGACAAAGAGCGTAGTAAGAACAAAAGAATTGATGCTTCTGAATCTTGGTATTGTTTCCTTTGCAAAGAAGATCGCGTTGCAGATATGAGGCTTTGCAGCATGTGTGCATCTTATGTCCACGAAGACTGTGTTGGACTCACTTCCAAAGACAGAGATACGCTTGTTTGTATGAGATGTGAGGAATAAGTTTTGTTTTTCGTTTTTTGCTTTTTCAAATTTAAAAAGTTTTCAATTTTACTTATTTAGACTGATTTATATGCTTTAATTGCTAGTAAATAAGTACACGCTATTAATTACTTACTTCTTAAAGGGTTTTAATTTTTGTAAGCTGATTTGTGATCTCAAAATATGCATTTTATAATATATTGATTATAAGATACTTTATAGTTAAAGTTAGAAAGATTTGATCTCATAATGTTTGCCAAAATATTGATGGTATTAGCATTAGATTGTTTAAGTTACCATTGAAAAATTTATAAAAATTATGAAAATTGTTAACATATATTTTTTTAAATTGATTTGAACCCAGAATTAATAAAATAGGTAATATTTGCAAAACTTTAAAATACGTGTGGTGAATTTGGCCAGTTCATGGCAGTATTTACATAGGCTGCTGGAAATATGGCCATTTTCCCAATTTTTAAAAACCACGACATTGTGTTTTATTAATGTGTAAAGAGAACTACTTTTGCACTCCTAATGATAGTTATACTGCAACTAAAAATAGAAATCTATCTTCTATTTCATTGGAAATTATAAATATAAAACAATAAAGCTTACATTACAGCTTACATATTCGACCCAGGTACCTTACTTATAATTATTTGCACTATGTCATAATTACTATATATGCATCGAATGTATATATGTATAGTTAGTTGCCCTATGTGTGGAACATAAATGGTGTGTGCTGTATATTTAAGTAGTTTTAATTTTGGTTTATGTGCGCGTGTTTTATATATCTGCTTATCCACAACAGCGGGGACAAGCTGAAAATCAGTGCTGCGTATGCGCGTGTGCTCTACACAGAGTGAACTGAGCTCGCTCACCTGCCACATATTAATAGCAATTGGATTATTATTGAATTACTAACGTTTAGTTTATTTTTTGTATAGTGAATAAATGGTTTAAAAGTTTAACACTGACCGCAGAATGTAATGGTGGTTGATACATTGGTGCAGCGGCTGGTGGTGCCGGTGGGGCGACTCTGTATCTATGCATACTGCGAAGTCTAGGCAATTCAGGCGCTGATCCGAACGCGACCACTCTCGCGACTAACGCATCTCCAGCTTCCCACACTGCTCCTGCCCCGCCTCCCATGCAGCTGTAGAACTCATCCGCTGAACGTGCTGATAGAATCCGGCTAAAATTTACAAATAGGAATAAGAAAAAGTGTAGTATTACCTCCCAAAAGAAGTTACTCTGCATTAAATTTCGTAAAAGTATGAATTCAAGTACTTCAGTTTCTATTTATGGAAAATCTTATCATTTAGGTAACAATAATATAAAGTCTTGAGCAGATTCAAAACTTTCCTATGGTGACCCGTAGCAAAGAAGTATGGTAATTGTGTTGTAAAATGTTAAGTGAAAGTGCTTTGAACTTACTCTTGTAAGAGATCCCAAATAGCCAGTGCAGTAAGCAGGAGAACTTCATTGCCATCCAAGAGGACTAAATCCCATATTCTCAGCAGTGACTCCCGAGGCAACCAAGTGGCGTAGAGTGTAAGGAACCATTGCATCGTAAAAACATCAGGGAGAGGAGGTTCTACGCCTCCACCTGTTGAGTAGCGGTAGTTGATTGAACAACTTGTAATTATTAAAACTACTCATATGTTTATGGCTGTTAACTATTACTTTTATGGACTAATTTGGTAAACTTTCGAAGGAGATATCAAGAAATTCATTACTGTGATTAAGATATTATTTGGCAAGTGTGGAATTTATTTACCATCCGATATTCTCTGTAGATGGTCCATATGATGGGCCAGACGAGGTAAACGCAATCGAAGCAAGTCCCTGAAAGCTGCCATGTCAGCAGATAGTCCTCGGAGGTCGTCGGCAAAATATCCTTCTGGTAATACAGCCTCCACTAGGTATATCATCACCTGATGCGAAAAAAATATTTATAAAAGTATCATTTATAATATAAGGCCACAAAACTGGAGTTTTCTGGCCCTTCATTCGAAGTACAAACGGCAGTTAAACAGGGAGATGCGTTATCGCCGAAACTATTCACCAGCACATTGGAACATGTCTTCTAGATAGTTACGCCATTGGAGAGAAAAGGAAAGATGGCCAAGTTAAGTGGAACTGGGCTGGTTACGTCTGTCGCATGCCAAGCGAGTGGGCTAAGATAATCACGGAGTGGAAACTTCACAACTCAAAACGGAGACGCGGCAGGCCACGTCGGCGATGGCGGAATGTACTTAAACTCCTTTTTAAAAGACTAGCTAGATGTTGCCCAAAACCGAGAGGAATGGGAAAAAAGAGGGGAGGCTTTTGCCCAGAAATGGGACAAAACGGCTTATAAAAAAAAATTGATTACCCTTTGAAAATACCTGCTTTTTCGTCAGAGAGCGTTTACCATATTAATTTAAGGAGGCTATTTGCGCTACATAATTCAAAATTTGTAAGGTAGTCATTTAAAACAGTAGTGTAGCTGCAGAGCCTTGAACACCGCCGTAAAGTTTGCGGGCTTATCGGTATTCTACAGGATATATTAAGCAGATGATGTTCCATTCTTATGTTGTGGATATTACAAGGATTTGCACGAAGCGCTATGCTTCCACATTTATATGGCAAACGCCTATGGAGTGGAATTCCCGCCTGCAGACTTGTTCCCTGAACGGTATAACTAGGGTCTTTTCAAGGCGAGAGTGGATAGGCAATATTTAGATGTGCATGGTCCATCGTCAACCTCATCGTCACTTTCTATCAGGTGAATTGGAGGTCAAATGCGCACTTATTTTTAACGGACTTCAAAAAAGGACGAGGTTCGCAATCCGACTGTGTTTTTCTTTTTTTTTGTATGTATGTTACGCGATAACTCCGGTATTAACCGATTTTGATGATTCTTTTTTTGTTGGAAAGAAGGTACATGCTATATATATCAGCAGTGGTCTCATTTCAATTTGAAGAAAATATTCCACCTCTAAGAGTGGCAAATTAGAGGATGAATGACTTTTGAGACCAGTTTTTTAGTACTTTTAAAAAAAATATATTATTTTATAAAAAGAATAGGAATCACCTTTAGTGAATCTGATTCAGATTTATCCATGACTTCCAATATGATAGCTGCTAACATGTTGAAGCCTTGGCAGTACCCGACATCTTTGTTCCATCTAAAATGAAGGAAATAATTCTGTTAATAGCACGTGTCCGCAAGTCATCACTGCTTTCATTACAAAATATGCTTTGGTTGCACCCCCCTGTCCAACTCTTAAATTTCTATCCTAGGGTTGCCTGGAAGAAATTGCTACATATCGATAAGGCCGCCTGTTGTACATTGGTTTACTCTGTGATACATTACTGTTCTGTGTTGTCATTCATTGTCGTCATTGTAATTTTAATGTGCAATAAAGCATATTTCATTCATTCATTTATTAATTCATCACTGCCTTTAAAAATGTAGAATCATACTTTAATAAATGACAGCACAATATAAACTCGACTTAAACTATGTCAATATTTCATAAGCACCTAGACAGGTCCAATTTCGCTAAACATTTATTGGAAACAAATTATGTTTTACTAGATTCCCGTTCTTAAATTTTTGCGAAAAAGGACTATGTGTAGGTGGTTTAGAACAGATGGAAATAATAGGTACAACAGCAGGGGTTGTATAATAAATGAACAATTTAATTTTGTATCATCACATTTATTACGCGTATTTTCGAGTTCCAACAATAGTAACACTGGGGGTAGCGGAGTATAAATATACCAACCGTTCTGAATGAGCCTATTCTTCGGCCGAGTGTCGACCAATCAACAGCCCATGAGGATGCCTCGAGGAGAGGCGAAACACGTGTCGGGTACATTTTTGGTGGTGGTTTATGACTGTAGTTGCGCTTGTGTTGGTGAGGGAGGGTGGGAAAATTAGCTGCATGAAAAAATATTCAACACACGCGCAGGTATTTTGTACGTTTTAACATAATACAATTGCAGTGCCACTCAAGAGTTTTAAATCACAAAGATCTGAGGGGCACTGCCACTGTGCCCGACACCCTGAGACATAAGTTGACAAGTCCCATGTGCCTGTAATTTCACCAGCACCCTTGCCCTTGAAACCGGAACGCAGCAATGTTCACATTGCTTGGCGGCAGAAATAGGTAAGGTAGCAGTATCCTGGATGAACTCTTTCACAAAGAGATCTACTGCTACAAAAATTAAGATGGACATCCGCAAAGTAACGCCTGAATCTATTAATTAGTGATAAGTAGAGTCGAAATAAAGAACTAGGTACTTAAAGCCAGGATTATGTTAAACCCTTACCTCGCGTAAGCCAGCAGCACCCTCCGCAACATTGCTTGGTTTTCACGGCCCTCTGTTCCGCAGAAGAGAGAGCAACCCGTGCGGTGCAGATCCTACAAAAATGATGTCCTTACATTATCATTATCATTATTATTAAAAACGTCGTCATAGTAGTGTGAACTTTAATAAGTTATGACACCGACTAATCTTCTCATCGTATCGATGACATACACTATAATATTTAGGCCCAGAACTCAGCCACGCCGACCGCGTCACTAGTAGCTGTCATTAAATCCTCAAGCGTGCAGGTGTTAGGGCACGCAGGTCACGACATGAGGTGGGCTATAGTTTGAGTCGCACCGCTCAAGCAGTCCAGGTTAGAACCATCCGAAAATCCCCACCCGAACAAATTGTCCTTGCTCCGATCAACCTGAGTTCGAACCCTATTCAAAAACGTCCAGATCGGCCATGGCAATTCATGTCCAGGAGGAAGACTCTCAAAAGGCGGACAAACGTAGATGGTACTCTTCGCGCCAAAGGCTGCTCCTCGCCTGAGCCGGCTCAATGCTCAGAGGATCGACACATTGACATGACCAAAATTTTTCCGGCTCTTCAGTCTCTGTTGCACTGTGAAGGGATCATGCATAGGGTACCGAGTGTCGATGGCCATTTTTGATCTTTCGCAAGATGCCGCTATATTTTTGCGGATGTCTGGTGGAGCTATGCTAGCTAGTGGGTACAGCAATCTTACCGGGGTCGGCTTAAGACAGCCAGTTATGATCCGGCAGGTCTCATTTAAGGCTGTATCCACAAATTTTGCGTGGGTAGAACGGCTCCAAACAAGGCATGCGCATTCGCCAGCAGAAAACGAAAGTGCCAGCCCAGTAGTACGCATGACCTGAGGCGAAGCTCCCCACTTGGTGGTAGTGAGACGCCGCAGTAAATTATTGCGTGAGTGTACCTTCCCCTTGACACTTTCACAATTTTTCTTAAAAGTAAGTGACCTGTCCAAATACACGCCAAGATACTTCGGGGTATCACTGTGATCTACAGAAACAACTTGCCACACTATGTTAAGCTTTCGATCCGCCTGACGGTTGCGAAGATGGAAAGCTCAGGACTCAGTTTTGGATGGGTTAGGCCTAAGCGAGTTTTCTCTATAGTAGTGACTTAAGTTATTAAGAGCAGCGTTGAGGTTATTCTCAATTTCGACGAAATTAAACCGATTAATTAAAAATTAAGAATCTAGAATCTGTTGTTCCTGCATGATTTTTTATCTCCAAAGACTCTTATTTATGGCAACGAACCACGTCTGTCACCGGTCCGTAATGACTCCGTAATATTTTCGTAGTAAGGTACAACAGACGAAATACGATTCAATTGCGTTTCGATCGTTATAACGCGTTGCGGACTTCGTGGTAGCTCTCCTGAACATTAATAATTAAATAAATAAATATAAGTATTAGACAACATCACATACAGTACGTTAACAACGACGGTACCACAAACACCCAGACGCGAGACAATATAGAAAAGTTAGTTTCTAAATCGACATGGCTGGGGATCGAACACGGAACCTCAGAGATGGCGACACCATGAAAACCTGTGTGCCTCGACTACGGAGATCGTCAAACAACTAAAACATGCTGACTATTAGGGTACTTGCACTTACATACACAGCTTAGTTAATGTGCTTGAAGTTATAACATACGTTTTATCCTTAAAATAGCGAATTATGAACTTTTGGCTGCACATCAGATGATATCACTTTTTAAAACTGAAAATTTCAATATTAAGCTTATTGAATATCATGATATTCAATTTTTTTTTTGTGAAATTAATCAATAAACTTAATATTACAATTATTAAAGCGACCTCTAGTTAACAGCTGGTAGCTGTAAAGGTACCTGGCTGAGTGAAGAAAAACTTTCATACATTTCTCACTGATGACTGACGGCAAAAAAAATCGTTAAAAACCATTGACTTACAAAGTCAATGTTAAAAACCAAAAACAAAGATCTGCAACAAGAACTTAGAAAAATTCGTAAGTTCTGCTGGTTCGTTCTGTTGGCTCAGTTGGGACAGCATCAGGCACGATATACTGAAGGCGCTGGTTCGAATCCAGCCGAATTGAAGGAATTTTTTCTTATTGTTCGATCTTTATATTAATAATTATAAATTTGATTTTTAAGTGGTGAGATACACTATCTCTAGCTAAGCCTATCGTACCTAGAAGGTCGCCCTATATACCAATTTCGTTGTAAATCACAAACAGAAATCCTTAAAATTTATGATGATAAAGAAGTCTTTTCCTGTAATTTGACATTTGATCTGTGACACCAAGAAAGCCTAATAATTCCTTGTAAATTGAACGTTTTGGAAAAATAACATTTTACTTAGTTATTGTAAATTACAGTCCGACAAAGGCCAAAAGGTGAGCGTTGTATGACTTTCGTAATTTATAGGTAAAGTGCCATTTTTCTTACTTACTAATCAATGTTTGTTTCTAAACAAGAATTTATTCTTGTTTTATTAAATAACGTCGTTCACTTTTCGATTACGTACGTTTTTCAAGGCTACGTTTAGGACAAGGGATTAATTCAATTTTTCCCTGGCCTACTGCTACACTACCTGACCTTTTGTTCAGTATTCAAGTTTCGACAATGTCCGGCAGAGAATAGGTGCAGGCGGAGAGTGAAAAATAGCGTTATGCTGAGCCTTGGTCCTTTTCGTTAACATTATTCTTTATATGTGTATGTATAATTATGTGTGTTTGATGAATAGTCCTATTTATTTTTATTTAAAGTAGAAAATCGAGTCAGTATACCTTGAGGATCTGGGCGCCCAGCTCAGCGTCATCGGGCAGCGCAGTGCCTCGGAAGCAAGCACGTTCGGCGGACGGCCAGTCAATACCTCGTGCTGTTAGGTGCCTTTCAGACAGCGTCAGCCATAACTGGAGACAAATAAATACATGCCTTTAAGAAAATTCAATGAATATTTCCCATCCGATTCCATTTGTACCTTTCGTTGTGGATCTTCTACACAGAGACTTAATAAAACTAAACAGGCCACCTGCAAATCAGTGAACGTCTTATTTGCATAGGGCTTTAAAAGATTATCTTAGAATAACAATGATACAGTATTGTCGGTTAATAATTGTATTTATGTGTTATTTGTTTCCCACAAAATTGAGGTTAGCAAGCTAAGGGTCTAAGAATAAAACTTAGCTGAACTGGGAATTGTAACCTACATCACTTTTACAAGCTGAGCTTGAATTAAGGCACTAAAGCTGTAACTTTTAGTGCTATAAAAGAAGCGTAAAGGTCACGATAGCCGCCACACTGCCGTCGAGGCGGGCACGAGATCTGATAATGTGGTTCCGGCGGCAAGGCTTCGCTAAAAGAAATATCGTCTTGACTAGTTTCGTTACCAACTGCTATGACGGAACTATCAGATTCTTTATTCTTGTTTCTTTATTTCAGGAGTAATTCCGATTGCTTGTTAACTTTTGGGTAAGCTTACTTTATCGTAGACCTCACTATACATTTGGACTTAATGCAGGTAAAGAGGATCTTATCGTTAGTCGATGAAGAAGTTAGACATTTTGCACTTCCGTTCTGTTTGCGTTGTATTTTCTATAGACATCTTGCTGACTATATGCCAACCTTGGTACAACAATTCGACAATCATGCGTTAAGAAAGTTATGATTAACTCACGTTTTTATTTCATAATATCTTTACTTTAAGTTTTATACTAACCCTTAATGTAACAAGGCTATATCTCCAAAATGACAACTTTTGTCCTGAAAATTTTTATTCGCAAAATTGGTCGATTCTCGAGAAACTATGCTTAAATGCCATGTTTTTGTTTGTTGCGTGTGAATGCCGGCAGCATCGTGCAACTACCTTCATCGGAACTAATTGCAGATAAATTAAACTCAAAACGTATGATTTTAGTTTTTGTCTACCGACATTATTTTTCTTAATACGCAGTGAATCGTGATGGTTGTATAGATTTTAGTGCGCTTTACTATTAAGTTTCGAAGTAAGATCTTAAATTTTCTCTGTAAGTGAATTTATATTCTTAAGAGAAATAAATATTCTTTAACCACAAGTAGTAGAGTTATACAATTTCAAATATAGCTTTAGTAGCAGTAGAGTTCCTTGTGAAAGAGTTCGTCCAGGGAAGTACTGCCACTACCTATTTCTGCCGCCAAGCAGTAATGTGAGCATTATTCAAAGGTCTGAGTGGCACTGCAACTATTATGGATAGGCGTGTCGCTTACCACCAGCGTTTGTCCGTCCTGTTAATTCGTATTATTTTTAAGATTTTCATGTGATAAAAGCACTTTTGACGTATAATCATTTGTCATGTTATTATACCAAAAATACGTTTTCATGCTATCTCTATCATACGTTAATTGGTTATAAATAAGATTTATGTTATTAATGTAAAATTATATTAAATACCACGAGTAGGGCTATACAAAGAAGTGCCGGTATTGAGTTTTACCACTTTAAACAACGTAAAATAACGTAAATAAATTGCTGAACTTCTCAAATTACTGATAATACTAAATACTATAGTCATAAAGTAAATAGAAACAGTATAATAAAATAGATCTTACAGCGACGCTACGCAAATGACTGGAAGGGTTAACAAGCTCAAAAGGGAGTGATATACAGACTTTCGCTTACGTAACCTGATATTAAAGGAATAAATTGAGAGACGTTCAGTAGGTTCAACACAATTTACTTTATTATAAGGGTGATACATTTTTGATTAGGTTTAAAAAAAACCTTAGAATATTATATAATAATTTTTGCTATGTGAAATTGTATGAAACTTCAACTACAATATAGTATCTGTTCAAATCCCGAAATAACTTCCTTGCATATGCAATAAATAGAGACAGAATGTACAACCGGCAACATGAGTCGGCGGGTTTCTTGGAAGCATCTTACCGCGAGCAAAAGGCGTAGAATAATAGATTAATGAAGGACTAAATATAGCTCTTTCCTTACTTAACAGGTAAATGACGTCATGCGTAAACAGAGCTTAGGTTATATAAAGTAAGACTGCACTTCCTGTGTAAGTAGTGTTGAGTAGGTTGGCGTAAATCCAAAATCGAACTTGTCTCTACCATAAATGTCTTCTTGGAGTTGGATGGGCGTCTGTTGGTCTGTGGAGTCTGTTAAATCAATAGTAGCGTTGTTGCTGGTGCCCATCGAATATATAAACAGAAATTGAGACGAAATAAGGGTCATCCATCCCTGGCAACTCATCAGACGAATGTGCCTTATATCACTTTTAAATATCAACTCTCGTTTGCGCCGAAAGCACAAATTAGAAAGCTGAAGCAGTACAGTACAAACAACTGACCTGTGTGTACATCTCCGTATATGTCAAAAATATTCTGTATTTATTGTAATAAATATAATATCTCTAACAATGGGAGGATGTTTCATTCGGTGGATTACAAAACAAACGGAATCACATTTCATCGGTAATTAAATATTAAATATACTCCCGGACACATAATTCGAACCACCTAGCCAAGTCGCATTTTTGTCGTGAGGGCTAGAATACAAAAACAATGTTATCATCGAAGAAAAAGTTTTCCCCCAGGTTTTGCAAATCTAAATTTCCAACAAGGACTTATGGAAAAGAAGTTTAGTATACTAGTTTCAAATTTGTGTAATAGTTATATAATGTATTAATAATTATAACAAACTAGTGGAGTAATTTCACATAAAAAAAATTGAATATCAATTCAATAAAAACTTCAATCAAACATTGTTTAAGCTTAGGGCACTTAATATTGAAAATGCGTGGCGGGTGGCGCGAATTATGTGTCTGGAAGTGTATGTAATTTTTAAATTATTGTCCATTATAGCAAAGCTCAAGTTAGCCGTTCGATTTGCAGTGAAACAATTGACGACACCTGTCAGTTGTTTCAAATTCGGTCTGGCCAATCGGAGCGCAGTTGTCACCATAATGATTTGGCAGAATAATTTTCAAACAAATTAAATGACATTTTGTCACTATTTCTGGTTATATACTCGTTGCTGGTGCCCAAACTATATTCAAAATTCGTCCCTGTCACTAATGTAACCGCCTAACAAAGTCCAAGTCAAATAATCATTCATTCCATAGGTAAAATGTTTTACACTTGAAAACGTCATTTTTTAAGCTACTTTTTAAGCTACTGCTCGTTCACTACGCTGACCTCCCTGAGAAGAACGAGTAAGAAACTCTAGGGATTGCTCTTTTGAAATAAACTTAAATGCTATGGAATAAATACACTTTGAATCAAAATTGTGTGGAATCTAGACTCTAGACTCTTGTCTTTCCATACTTCTTTATCTGAAACATACTCTTAAATTTTTAACCGACTTCAAAAAAGGAGGAGGTTCTCAATTCAACTGTATGTTTTTTTTTTGTTTTTTGTATGTTACACCATAACTCCGGTATTTGTGAACCGATTTTCATGATTCTTTTTTGTTGGAAAGGGGGTACTTCCATAGTCGTCCCATTTCATTTTGAAGAAATCATCCACCTCTAATGGTGGCTGTTCACGCATGAAGACTCATTTTTATAAATAGCACCTAAATTTTACTTAAGGCGCAATTATTTTAATGGTTGATTTTGCTACTTCTCCAATTCAAGGCGTTTTTCTCTCAATATACTTTGAGTAGTGAGAACCGATTTTTATTATCTCCAGTGTCAAGTCCTGTTTAGTGACGAACTAGGGGATATTTCAATAAAACTTATCAAATAGATGTAATTCCACGTACTTTTGAGGTCGGTTTTTTTAGTACTCTGTACTGAGAATATGTAATATAACATTTCCATTAAAATACTTTTAAACTTAGGAAATGATAATCTTAACATATTCTCCGGAATCTTATTGTAAAATCTTATACAGTTCCCCATAAAAAAATAGTTTATCTTAGTTAAACGAAATCGTGGTACCATAAGTTTGGACAACAGTACCTTCATGCCTACATTACCGCAGACATACCTGTATTATAAGTCACGGGTCAGCACTGAGCTTAACAGGATTGAGCCTTGATGATTTAAGAGAACTAGCACTTTTTTTGATTCTAGAAAGACGTGAAACAAAAATTTTATTTGCCGATTTTCATATACTCTGCTGTTAAGGAAGCTCGAGTGTTTAGGTCTATTTACTACTCATTTTGAAGGTTGCACTCAGTTTTAGTTAGAATTATTTTGTTTTGGTACGGTATTGCAGTCTTTTAAAATCTTAAGACAGGTGCATAATTACATATTGAATTAACACAACTCACATAATATTAACAGCCATAATAATCTTTCAAAAAACCAGAGAGCGAGAACACAGACACAGGAGATGAAATAAGCTAAGAAAGATCCTTTTTAATCAAATATTTATCATCTCAATCTTCTTTTGTTTTCGATAGGCCCGAACAAAGGATATCTTCACGGAAAAATGAAGTGCCTTTTCACAACTGATATAATAAACCCAACGCTACGTTATCTTGGTAATAGAATACAACCTATATACCACCACATCAAGCAAAATAATGTAACATGTATCACATATGTATTATTTAATACGTATTCATTTTCTTGCTATAATAAGCGACTGCTTTCTCATAAAAGATAGCAATATATGCTGTAGTTAACTAAAAAAGTCGAAGGTCAGTCTCTTAGAGTTAAATAAGCTCTAACAGACTTACTTACTTTATTAACCTTAAAAAGGAATAAGAGCGATGCCACAAGGGCGGTGCAGGTGCGTTACGTCGTCGCAACGCTATGATTTCAACGCACCCAGTTGTGCGTGTATCAAAGCACAAGCAACGCGGTGTCGATGTCGCAACGTAATGCCGCGAAATACTTATGCACCATATATCCCTTACCTCTTCGTCTCCTGGTCCCTCGTCCGATGTGCATGCGTTACTTCGCCGCGC